AGAAAGAAAGAAAGAAAGAAAGAAAGAAAGAAAGAAAGAAAGAAAGACGGAAAGGAAGGAAGGAAGGAAGGAAGGAAGGAAGGAAGGAAGGAAGGAAGAGAGAGGGAGGAAGGAAGGAAGAGAGAGGGAGGAAGGGAGGAGAGATGAAAGGAAGGAAGGGAGGAAGAATGAGGGAAGGAAAGAAGGGAGGGAGGGAGGAAGAGAGAAAGGAAGGATAGAGACAGATGGAAGGAAGAGAGAAAGGAAAGAAGGGAGAGAGGGAAGGGAGGAAGAGAGAAAGGAAGGATAGAGAGAGATGGAAGGAAGGGAGAAAGGAAGGAAAGAAAGACAGAAGGAAAGGAGGAGAGAGAGGGGAGGGAGAGAGGGGGGAAAGGGAGATGGAACAAAGGAGAGATGGAAGGAAATGAGGAGAGAGGGATGGAAAGGAGGGGGGAAGGAGAAATGAAAGAAAGAAAGAAGGAAAGTAAGTAAAGGAAGGAAGAAAAGAAAGAAAGAGTTCCTCCAAATCCTCCAAGGAAGATTTGGATGAGGTTTGGATCCTTCAGAGCAGTCTCCCTTACAGGCTCGTGGTTGTAAGGCTAAAGTGGAAGTAGATTTCCCTGGAAAAGGCAGATTATATGCATCTCTGGCCGAGACCTATGGAATCAAATAGAATCAATGGGTCTCCCTCCGTCAGAGAGGCCCGCACCCAGGAACACATCAAATTGCGGTCCACCTTTCAATCCTTCCTCCTCTCTTCACCCACCTGAGACCCCAGCCTCTGGCAGAGCTCCTCATATGCATCTCGCGTCTCCAGGTGGGTCACGTTGGGCCTCTGTAGTGTGATTTTTCCTTTCCCCTCCTCCCGATCCTTCCTCAAAAGCTTCTCATACTTCAGGACGTTCCTCTCCATCCGCTCGTTGCCTGGATCTGGGGAAGAGGAAAAAAAATGGTCCCAACCATCTTCAAACCAGGATAGAAGACGGTTTCCCACCCAGGCCCTTCTTTCCTCCTTGTCCTTCACCCCTGAAATGGATCGGGCACTTCTTATTTATTTATTTTATTTATTTATTTATTTGATTTGCCAATTGTTTACAAGATAATAAGTATAAGTTGGGTAAATTAACCAGATGCCAGGTACCTATTATCCTATGTGGTGGACATGTATCAAAGCAAGACAATATTGGACGAAAATACACACGTGGCTGGAAAAGACGATTAAGCAGCCCATAGATTTGAAGCCAGACATATTTTTTTGTTAGGAATAATACCAGAAAGCTGTGATAAAGGGACTACATAATGCCCCGTGTGTTGGCAGCAACGGGAATTCTATTTGCACAATATTGGAAAAATGAGGACACCCCCACCAGATGAAAACATAATTCGGAAAATATTGGATTGTGCAGAGATGGATAGATTGGCGTTAAAAATGAAAAATAAAAAGAGACACAGAGTATTATTCAACATAGGACAGATTTTATCGGTGGTTAGATACAAGAGGTGGAAGTTAAAAGATGAAAGATTATTGTTATGTGTATGTAAAAGATGAATATTATTCAGGACTATAAGCATGCTACTATAATTAATATGACTACAAATAAGTTAATATAACTATAATCATATAATAATATGTATATTATTTGTTTTACTACTAGTAGACAAGCTGGGTAGGTTTTTTTTTGGTAAAATTTTATATATATTGCCTCCAGAAAAAGCACTTTTGGGACATTATATGGCAGAGGGTTTTAAAAAAAAAAGCTCTTGGAACTTCATATTTTCTTTTCCAAATGGAACCATTAATCAAGAGGCAAAATTCTACCCATAGAAAATTGACTGGAGGGTGAAACTTGTGTTTCTAATTTATTTCTGTTTCGACTTTCAGAAAAGGACCTATTTCGATTTTGTTTGTCCCCAAAGGTTCCTCCCGTTCTTCTTCAGTAGACAAACTAAACGCTTTGATTGGAAATGCAGAAGCAATATTTCCAGCGCAGAAAAAAAATAAAATTACGAAATTCCCAATTGCAGGTAGTTCTCGACTTAGGACCGCGACTGAGCCCAAGATTCCTATTGCTAAGCAAGACAGTTGCTCAATAGAGCTGTGCCCTGTTTTACGACCTTTCTGGCCACGTTTGTTAAGGACGTGCAACTGTCATAAATAGGAGTCGGTGGCCAAACATCTGAATTTTGATCACGTAACCAGGGGGATTTCACGACGGTCATAAGTGTGAAAAATGGTCATAAGTCACTTTTTTTTTCAGTGCCGTTGTAACTTTGAAACAAATGGTTGTCAGTCAAGCACTGGCTGTAACAAAATAACAAGAGTTGGGAGGGACCGTGAAGGTCATCTAGTCCAACCCCCTGCTCAAGCAGGAGTCCCAACCTATGCCATTTCAGACAAACAGCTGTCCTACCTCTTCTTAGCCAAACAAACCAGGGTTCTATTTTTAATGAGAACAATGTCAGGAGAAGCGGGGAATTCAGGATTTGGTCCCAAAAAAATCGAGATTGCAGATGGGCTTTGTTGTTGTGTAAGAAATAAGGAAATTCAAAAATAAAATGGTATATAAGATACTTAAATGTTTCACAAATGGGGGTTGGACTAGATGACCTGCAGGGTCCCTTCCAATTCTGTTAATCTGTTATCAAATGAAGTATATCTCCCTGTATCTATGCGAAGTCGTGTCCGACCCATCGCGACCCCATGGACAATTTTCCTTCAGGCCTTCATGACCTCTACCATCCTCCGGAATCCATTTAAGCTCAAACAGTCGCACAAATAATAAAAAAAAACCACAGGCAGAGCTTCCATTACATCGTCCTGGCCTCCATCTTGACTTTTTTGACCTGCAGACACTTCTGAAAACTGCCAGGAATATTCCAGTAGAGTGATTTATTTATTTTTGGTCTTTTGGTCCTTAATACCTCCAAGGATCCTGTCAAATTGTGCAGAACTCAGTTTGAAAAACCCTGCTGGAAGTTTGCGTGTTTCTTTTTCTCCAACCAAAGGATGATGGATGCCAGCTGGCTAGAAAAATGTTTTTTTCTTTTGTTCCTGGTGCTCTAACAACAGTTTGACTCAGCGTCTGAAACTCACGATGGTGCAAAATATCACTTACCAGTTTGGGGGAAAAAAAATAAAATTAAGGAACCCTTTCCAAGCTGTTTCCGAGGGTCGCTTAATCATACCCAGACAGTGCGAAATAAATGGGGATTATTTAATTCTACAGTGCTCATGATTAGGAAGCATATTTTTAGGAAACGGCAGTGCCTCCCGATTAACAAATTCAGAATAAAACGGTGTGGTTGAATATGTTCTTCTGAATTCCCTAAAGTTCAGATATATATATATATATAGTCTGGGTACAAATACCTTGTGCAATAACAATTAAAATTTACAGCCATGTTCATTACTTTGGTATTAAGTCTCTATTCTTATCTTATTCTTATTGATATAAATAATATCTCTATTACTGTAACACTCCTTTTCTTAACATGTTTAATTCTATTAACCTATTTTTTAAATTTCACTAATCTATTAGCTATTTCTAGCTTTCATATTTTTTTCTCTAGCCATTGATAAAATAACAGATAATCACAGTTGGAAGGGACCTTGTAGGTCATCTAGTCCAACCCCCCGCCCAAGCAGGAGACCCTACCCCATTTCTGACAGAGGGCAATCCAGCCTCTTCTTGGAAGCCTCCAGGGATGAAGCTCCCACCACTTCTGAAGGCAACTTCTGTTCCATGGGTTGATTGTTCTCCCTGTCAGAAAGTTTCTCCTTATTTCCAGGTTGAAAAATCTCTCCTTGTTCAGTTTCCATCCGTTATTCCTTTTCTGGCCTTTGGGGGCCCTGGAAAATAGCTTGACCCCTTCCTCCTCTCTGTGGCAGCCCCTCAAATATTGGAAGACCGCTATCCTGTCTCCCCTGGTCTTTCTCTTCCCTAGACTAGCCAGGTCCAGTTTCTGCAACCGTCCATCGTAGGTTTTAGCCTCCAGTCCCCTAAAATCATCCTGGTTGCTCTTCTCTGCCCTTTTTCTAGAGTCTCAACCTCTTTTTTTAATAATGTGGTGACCAAAACTGGATGCAGTACTCTAGGTGTGGCCTTACTAAGGCTTTACAGAGTGGTATTAGTACCTCCCATGATCTTGACTGTATCCCTCTGTTAATGCAACTTAGGATTGCGTTGGCTTTTTTGGCTGCTGCTGCTGCACACGGCTGGCTCCTATTTAGCTGGTTGCCCACTAAGACTCCCAGATCCCTCTCAATAGTTCCCATATCTTATAATATTCGGTTTGCTCTTTCATTGCAAGTGATGCAGTAAAATTTGAAAGAAATAAAATCTATCATATTTTACCCCAAAGGAAGTAATCCTTAATTTACAAGTAATCCTTAATTTATGACTGAGATTGAGCCCAGAATAAAGGTCATAAGTGGTTGAAGTTGTAAGTCAAAACATCACATGACTGGATTCGACCAGTTTTTTTTCTTAAGCAAATGCCGTCATTGTTAAGAGAACACAGTCGTTAAGTGAATCCATTTCCTCCAATGGGGTGTGTTGTTTTGTTTACTGGAAACCAGCAAAAAAAAAAAAAATAAACACCACTGCAAATCGCAGCCACATGATACTACAAATGATTGTAAAGATAAGCTAGTTGCCAAGTGCTCAAAATGTAATCCTAATTGTGTGTGACCATCTTAGCGCCGAAAACGGATGCTAAGTAGCCATGGAGAGGTTCATTGTGTCAGAAATGGGGTAGGGTCTCCTGCTTGGGTGGGGGCGTTGGACTAGATGACCTACAAGGGTCCCTTCCAAATCTGTTCATCTGTATCTGTAATTTCAGACGGTCATAAAGCAACCAGTTGTAAGTCAGGGACTTACAACCATTCATTTAGTGAACGAACTGTTGTAACGAGAAAAGTAATAATAAATGCAGAAATTCAATGTTTTCTTATGTTTCTATTTGTACCAGTAGTCCTCAACTTACAACCGTTTGTTTAGTGACCTTTCGAAGTTACAACGGCACTGGAAAAAGGGACTTATGACCGTTTCCCCCCCCTTTACGACCATTTGCAGGCTCTGGTCATGTGATCAAAATTCAGACACAACTGATTCATACTTATGACGGTCGCAGGGTCCCTGGGGGGGGGGTCAGGTGGTCCCCTTTTGTGACCTTCTGACAAGCAAAGTCAACGGGGAAGCCAGATTCACTTAACGACCATGTGACTCACTTAACAACTTAACAGCTTTTTGCAAGAAAGGTCGTAAAATGAGGCAAAACCCCCACTTAACAACGGTCTTGTTTAGCAACAGAAATTTTGGGCTCCCTCATGGCTCTAAGTCGAGGACAACCTGTAGTAATAATTCTAGGGAGGCCTGTTGTAACTTCAAACCTAGTGTATTTTTCCCCCAAAAAATAATTCACTTTTTTTCAGTGGGAGGCCTGTTCTATTTGCTGAGAATATAGAAAAAGGAAAGGAGTGAATTTTTCTCTCGCTTATCTTTACGGTGTTTGGGAATTTTGCATGCAAAATTCATAGTTTCCTCCTTTTCGGGTAAATACAGTATTACTTTGGCAGTGAAGATGTGATGGAATTTATTAAAACCACAAGTTTGAAAGGGGTGGTGTTAGACTGACAGATCAAATAAATCTGGTATATTTCTTTCCGAGAAGCACATACCGTAGTGAAGAAATTCCTGGGATAGCTTTAAGGCGTGAGAAATGTTTCCTGCCTTGTAAAAAAAATAATATTTCAAAGGGGAAGGAGGAGAGAGAGAGAGAGAGAGAGAGAAAAGAAGTGGATAGTTAATGTTTTGTAGGAATAAAGACAGTCTGGGTTTAAATTTCGAAGCAACCCCTTCCTGACCCCAGTCTAAAAACTTCATGCAAAGCATTATAACAATCCCAAACTCAAGATGGGACACGTGTTATGAAAAATATTATCTTCGGCTGTTTCGGGATTTTGCTCCACTCATACTTTTAAAAAAGTAAAGAATAAAACCTTGATTTAATAGATTTGGGAAGAAACCAATAAAGTTTGCATTTAATTGCATTTCCCTTTAGTGGACAAACATCCCCTAAAATGTGCTAAATTTAATTTTATCCAGATACCTGACATGATTGATGTGATTTACATAGATATAGATGGGTACAAAGGCGCATTCAGATTTAATGGACGTTTGGATTTAACGGACATTCCTTCTCTCAGTCAGTCCATGAAATGGAGATTTTGGCCTCCAGGTGCTTAGCCCATAATGGTTGGAGGCTGCAAGGTACTGGGTGAAGGAGAACAAGGAGCAACAACCCAAGCAAGACTGAATGACTTGAGTTTTGAGGCGTCCTAGATCTGCGGACTCCTCATTTTTAACTCTCAAAATAATAACAATCCCCCCCTGAGTTTGTGCAATTTGGGGATACTACTGGACTTGGGATGGATGGAGGAGAGGGGAAAGGAAGGAAGGGAGAGGAAAAGGAAAGAAAAAAGAAAGAAGGGAGAGAGGGAGGGAAAGAAAGAAAAAATAGGATGAAGAAAAGGGAAAAAAAAGGAAGGGAGGGAGAGAAAAAAGAAAGAAAGAAAGAGGGAGTGAGTGAGGAATAGAGAATGGAGAGGGGAAAAGAAAGGAAAAGATAGGATGAAGGAAAAAAGGAAGGAAGGAAGAGAAAGAAAAGAAAGAAAGAAAGAAAGAAAGAAAGAAAGAAAGAAAGAAAGAAAGACAGACAGACAGACAGAAAGAAAGAAAGAAAGAAAGAAAGAAAGAAAGACAGAAAGAAAGAAAGAAAGAGAGAGGGTGGGAGAGAGAGAGAAGGAAGAGAGGGTGGGAGAGAGGAAAAGAAAGAAAGAGGAAGGGAGGGTGGGAGAGAGGAAAAGAAAGAAAAGGATGAAGGAAAGAAAGAAAAAAGGAAGGAAGGAAGGTTGGATAGAAAGAAGAAAACTAAATAAATAAATATATAAATAAACAAAGGAAGAAATAAAGAAAGAGGAGGAAGGGAGGATTAGAAAGAAAAAGAAAGAAGGAATGAAGGAAAGAAAGAAAGAGGGAGGGAGGGAGGGTGGGAGAGAGGAAAAGGAAGAAAAATATAGGATGAAGCAAAGAAAGAAAAAAGGAAGGAAAGAGGATGGATAGAAAGAAGAAAACTAGATAAAGAAAGAAAGAAAGAGGAGGAAGGGAGGATTAGAAAGAAAAAGAAAGAAGAAATGAAGGAAAGAAAGAAAGAGGGAGGGAGGGAGGGTGGGAGAGAGGAAAGAAAAATATAGGATGAAGCAAAGAAAGAAA